GTCAGTCAGGGACGCGGGTGTCAGCGACGGGCGGGGCCACGTGCGCTTGGGGGCTGCGGTGGGGAGACGGGTGGGACTGGGACCAGCGAGAGAGGGGGAGGATGGACTGGGATTGTACTGAGACCAGTGAGAGAGAGCGCGAGAGGATGGACTGGGATTGTACTAGGACCAGTGAGAGTAGGGATGGACTGGGACCAGTGAGAGACAGGGAGGATGGACTGGGATTGTACTAAGAGCAGGGAGAGAGTGTGGGCACGGACAGGGCCCAGTATGAGATACAGCAGGGATGCACTAGCACTGTACTGGGACCAGTGTGAAACACAGCAGGACTGGAGTGGGACCAGTGTGAGAGATAGTGGGAGTGCTGGGATTGTACTGGGACCAACCTGAGCAATAACAGGGCTGTACTGGGATTGTACTGGGACCAGTCTGAGCCATAGCAGGGCTGCACTGGGACCAGTCTGAGCTGTAACAGGCCTGCGCTAGAGCTGTACTGGGACTAGTCTGAATCCATTGTGGGCTGAAGTCAAACTGGGACTGATCTACACCCATGGTAGGACTGCACTGGGATGGTACTGGGGCTGTACTGGGACTGAGCCATAACAGCTGCACTGGGGCTGTACTGGGATGGCACTGGGCACACACTGGGCTGAGGCACTGGAGGATCCATTTCCCACTGGAAAGCTGTCCCCACCCTGTAGGTCCCCCAGGACCACTGTCACCCCCGTTCACCTCACCCCACACAGGTCAAACCGGCTTGGCTCTTCCAAAAATAACCCACCAAGGATCTGAGACTGGGAGCTATTGGGAACCTGTCCAGGGACAGGGCTGCAGGAGAGGCACCAACTCCATCTGGACAATTCTCCTGAGCCCAGTGCTCCATTTGCTCCCTGGAGCACCACAGAACAGGGGTCATTGGAGCCAGGAAGGTGCCAAAGGAAAACAGAATGAGGCTCCTTAAGCAACAACTCAAGCTATTTGACGATTTTCCAGGCAGCCAGGCCCTGCTGGTCCTTCCCGCTGAAGTGCAGCTCCAGTAAGGGCTGGTCTATACCAGATAGCCATTGTGGGGAGTGGTCTGGCTGCTTTCAGCAAGGCGCCAGCATGTCTGGGCTAGTCAGGGGATGTTACAACTTGTTGCCTGAGGGCCTTGGGAGGAGTAGGTGTGGAGATGGGACCCTTGAACAGAAAGCGCCTGCGTGCTGGCTCACCAGCCCCGAGTTGGGATGTTGCTGGGGTAAAAGAACAAGTTGTGCCCCAGGTTGACCAATTGGTACACACCTAATGTTTAGAATAAGCCAATCAGCAGGGAATATGCTAAGCAAAGGGACTATAAGGATTTGTGAAAAACAACAATAAAAATGTTGCTTGCATCAAGCTGCGTCCCTTCTCTCCATCGGGGCAATCCATAGTCTGTTACAACACTTACCCTGTCAGATTGGGATGGAAACAGCCTGGCAAGGCTCCACACAGGCCACTTCCAGGGGGAAGTTCTCCTGCTGGAGGCACCAGGAGCTCAGCACCACGATGGTAAAGGGGCTGGGCTGGAAATGTCACTGGAGCAGCAAGTGCTGAGCCAGGGACATGGAGGGAACAGCTGTGCCCCCAGAAAGCTCCGTGGGGACCACACTCCAGAGGACAGCAGGAGAAGGGAAGCAGATGACCTTCAGCACAGCCTCAGCACAGTCAGGCCCAGCCCCGGATACAAACGCACAACTTCTCCATTTCAGAGCCTTGGCAGTTTTTCTCTCAGCTCTGGAAAGCCCCACTCACTGCTGAGTATTTTCTCCAGGATTGTCCCTATTGTCTAGTTTTTAATAGCCAAAGGGAAGTGATTATCCCAGCATCCACCCTGCCCACACACACTAGATTCAGAGCCCCCCAGCAGGGATGGGACAGGCTGTGTGACAGGGACACGTGTGCAGCTGTCAGAGACAACAGCTGGCCACCACGGCCAGAGACTGCCAGCCACCGGGGCTGGGCCAGTGCCAGCCACCTTCCTCACAGCCACAGGGCTTCCTCCAGATCCTAGAGGCAGGAGGATGCTGGCTCTTCCCTCCTGCTTCATCCCTCATTCCCCTAAGCATAGAGGAAGGCAAACAGGATGTTCCTGCACTGACTGACCACTGCTAAAAATATCTAATAGCAAATACATGGCTTTGGGTTATCCCCAAAAAACAGAGGTGTCCAAATCCCAGACACCCACCTCTTCCCAGGCACCTAATTCCATGGGTTAATGTTGCCGTGTTGTGTTTCTATGAAACTGCAGCACAGCTCTGAGCCCAGGAATCATCTGTTTTCCAGACCCAAATGCTCTCCAGGACCAAGAGATTCCAGCTGCAGAATATAAGTGTAAATCACATTTTCCAATAAAATTCTTGCTAAGTTCAGAGTATTTTTCCTCCCTCACATACAGACATGAGCATTCCTTTAGGAATGCTTGAGGAGCACCAGGGAAACTTCAACAAACCCCTTTTCTTGCAGCTTTTCCTAGAAAAAAAAGAGGATTTCCTACCGTAAACAGCTTAATTACAAATCCCAATGCATTTCCCCATCCGAGCACTCCAGCACCAGGCACATCTCCATTAAAAACCCCAAATCCAACGAGGGAGAGCTGCATGTTTATTCAAACAAATCACAGGCTGCCCAGAGCAGACCTAGATCTCCATTACTGCAGAAACAGCCATGCCGAGGGAGAGGAAATTCCCAACTCAGGGTCAGCGCCAGACCCGAGACAGGGAGAGAACAACAAGGGGTTTAATACGTGTGTGGAGAGAAGTTTTCAATTAGCAGGAGGTTAAGTGAAGCAAGTACTGAGGGCAGACAGACAATGCTCTTGGTCTGTGTAAATCCCTCAAAGATGGATCTAGACTAAGCTGGGCATGACCTTGATGTTGCTTCCCGAAGGGATTCAAGGGAGGGCTGGAACTCCAGCAAAGCATCAATCACTACACACTATCACTACACTGACACATTTCGGGGCTCCAGCAGCTTCCCCTCTCTCACCAGCCACTCAGCGTGGGGTGCAGAGCCTCTCTGTTCACACTACAGCTGAGGGCAGTGGGTGTAGGCCCCAAAAGGCTGGGGGAAGGGGAGAGTTGGGGTTACAATGTGGACACGTTACACCTCGGGGCTCCACAGCTCCTATTTCTTCCTGCCTCCTCTCTCCTTGAGTGCCAGGTGAATCAGAGAGCCACTTGTCATGTTGTAGTAAGCCAGGGAGTTGGAATCCTTGATGAAAATGCCCTGAGGGGAGGAGAAAAGGCAAAAACCACCAAAAAACCCAGTCAGAACAGAAACCTCAGTGCTCCCTTCCCACACAATTCCACCCAGGCAAAGCCCTCCTGGCTCAAAGCACAGGGATGACTGAACACTGCAGGCTTTGAAGGCACTGGAGAGATTCCAGTGCCCAAGATGGACACTGGAAGAGGTGGGTATAGAATCCTAGAATAATCTGGGTTAGAAGGGACCTTAAAGCTCATCCTGTTCCACCCCCTGCCATGGGCAGGGAGCACTAGCCCAGGCTGCTGGGAGTGATGCATGAGCACAGCCAATATACACTATGTACCTCTACAACACATAGATAAAGAGTCACCACAAGCAAAGTTATTTAGGCTCCAACTCCCCCCACCTTTTTTTTTTCCTTACAAATAATCAGCTCAACTTCCTTTCTCGTTAAGGGTTAACAGAGTATCTGCCCACAGATGAACTCCTGAGAAGATAAGTGCACAAAGTTCACTGCTTAGGCAGCAGGTTGTGCCTGCCTGGGTACATGCATGACTGGAACTAAGTCATTAAAAAGGAACGAAGCCTTTCTGACAGCTCCAGCCTGGAGAGGAAGAGAGAGTGAGCTCTTCCCTTCCGTGTTTTGGAGAAAGCCTTCCCGGAGCTGCCAGGACTCCATGGCACGCCCACCTCCCAGAGCACACGGCAGAGCTGTGGGAGCAGCTGCTGCAGCTAAATGTCAGAGAAACCCTAATAAAACAAGAGGCTGATTTCAGAGAAAGCCACATCCAGCCTGGAGGACTCATCTGCTGCAACAACAACATGAAGATGCACTGATGTCCCTAATAAAGGTCTGTCCTGCAGTTGTGTAACCAGATGTGCTGTGCAGGCAGGAAAAACATTCCCACTGCTCCTCCCAGTAGCTCATGCTACACTGAACCGTGTGTGTTACAATTTTCCTTTGGAAAACGTTTTGTGCGTGAGAAAGCACTGAAGTACCAAACAGCATGTGAAAGGCTTATACTCACCTCGTACTGCAGCTTTTGCTTCCCAGCTGGCATCCCTGTGGCCTCATGGATCTTCACCTTGATCACAGACACCTGGGAAGGGGCAAACAGCTCGATCAGGGGTTGTGTCCTGCTGTAAAGCCAGCCCTGCTCCCCAGAGGCTGAGTGGGGAGCAGGCAGAGCTTTCCAGCCCCTGGCATGCAGGTAAGCTGCTGCTGTCAGAGGCAGGGGCAGGGCAGGCCAAGGAGCTACGTGCCTGGTCGGAGAGGGGCAGGGTGAACACCAGCACTTGGCCATTCAGCTTCCATTCTGTCTTGTCCTGCATGTTGGGCACTTGGACTTTGACCGTAACTGGGCCCTGTGGGAAACACAGATAACGTCTCACAGCCAAGGAGGCTCAGGGCTGTGATAACAGAGCAGCAGAGGAACAGTTTATTCCCAAACTAGTCACATACCTCAACTTCATGGTAAACACACAGCAATGTATTTGCCTCAGCACTGTGAAAGTTACTCCACTGCTCCCAAAATAAAACAGATATCTCTCCTTAGCCTCTCCTTTTGTGTGCCATTCACTGAACACCACATGCACTCAGGGTATTGGAGTGAATGTGTGAAGCACTAAACAGGAGACAATTTCTCTGTGCACATGGAATCACAGAATTCCAGAATGGTTTGGGTGGAAAGGGACCTTAAAGTCCATCTAGTTCCATCCCCTGCCATGGGCAGGGACACCTTCCACTAGCCCAGGTTGCTCCAAGCCCCATCCAACCTGGCCTGGAACACTTCCAGGATCGGAGCAGCCACAGCTTCTCTGGGCAACCTGTGCCAGTGTCTCAATACCCTCACAGAGAAGAATTCCTTCCCAATATCTCATGTCAATCTCTCCCCTTTTTAGTTCAGATATGACAAGGAAAACCATACAGTCATTCTTAAAGGAATTAAAACTCCTGCAAGGATGTTAGTCCTCAGGAAGGAATTGAGGCTCACTTTTAGCTCACCTTGTTATGGAATACAGCACATTTCCACCCTATCATGCTGGCATTGATACTCTAATCTCCTTGCATCTCCAGCTTAGCCCTCCTCTCCTTAAAAGCTTATTAGCAGCTTTAGTTCTTCTTTGCATTACTATAAACCTGCCTCTCACTGCCCTTAATTACAGAAGAACACTATCCCACTCAACTCCTGTGTGTAGCTCTTCCCAGTAAAACACAAACGAGTTTGGTTTGCTTGGGAATGAAATAGGGAAGGAGCCACCTCAGGAAGTCACTCCCTTGCCAACGGAGGCACACCAGTCCCTCTCTGTGCAGGGAATTGGCTTTACAGCCCTTGGGCAGAGCAGGACAAGCCCAGAGCCACATGTGTACCTTGTTCCTGCGCAGAAATTCCTCCTCTGGGATGAGGCTATCCTCACTCTTCAGTTTCTTGGAGACTGGCTCATCCTCCATGGGTGGTGGGGGGTGAACAGGAGGCATTGGCGCCGGGGATGGAACCGGAGCCACGGGAGGAGCAGGGACGAAGGCTGGAATACGATGGGGACACAACACAACCAACAGTGACCCACTGAGTGCACAGCACACACCTCCTCACACAGAAACACTATTGGCAGAGCAGCAAAGGCTGAAAATAAATGCCACAATACATGGACTAGCAGAGCAGCAAAAGCTGAAAATAAATGCCACAATACATGGAGGAAGTTAGAACCAACAGCAATATGCAGACTTCAAATGCTCGGAGAGCTCTCGTGTTGGGAAGCAGCCCAGGAAAAGATAACAAGGCATGAGAGCTTCCTGCAGAGCTTGCAGAAAAAGCACTCAGTGTGGCATGCAGCAGTGCCAGCTCCTCTGGGAAAAGAAGGAAAAAAGAAGGAAAAAAGGAAGAATTGTTTTTTACATGGTGCTTTTTAACTTCTAAGCACCTAATGAGAACAAGGGCCAGAAAACAGCTTTTCCTCCTGCAGCAGCAGCTTCTGTAACGAGCTGTAACACCCACTGAGGTGCTGGCAGCTCCTCTCTACCCTGGATTCTTCATTTTCACCCCGTCAGGCTCCCAGAGACAGAGAATTCCCTGTATTCCATGGTGCAAGTAGAGCCTCGAGCCCCAGAGCTGGACTAGATAAGCCATATCCAACACCCCAAAACTCTTAACAGCACAACTTAGGGTCTGTGATCCCAGTTACACACCAGTATCAGGGCACAGGAGGAAAGACTCCAAGCCCATGTTACAGAGGAATGAGCTGCCAATCACCCAGGAGTAGAGCTGAAGTCACTGACCTGTGGGCACTATCATGGGCGGCGGGCGGGGGCTCATGATGGGAGGAGCAGAGGGAGGCATGGGGACCACGTTGATCCGTGGGGTGTGGATGATGGGAGGCATGGGGGTGGCTATGACAGATCCTGGAGGCAGTCGGACCACGGAGGTCATCGGGGGCCGAGGCATGACTGGAACTGCAGACACCACGGCGGCACGGACAGGGGGAGGCATCTGGGACAGAGGGAGAACTTCTTTAGCAGGTCCATGAAGGAA